TGAGGGTTAGTATCGGGTATGTGCGTGCTGTGTTTTGTTGTGTGTGTGTGTGTGTGTGTGTGTGTGTGTCTGTGTGTGTGTGTGTGTGTGTGTGTGTGTGTGTGTGTGTATGTATCAGAGGTGGTGAACCTTAAACAGGCTACTCTGCTTGTACCATAGAAAGTTTTCTGGTTACATGTGTAAGGACATAGCTCAGTGGAAGAGCTTACCTGGCAAGCAAAAAAGAATCAGGTGTTTATTTTTGTTTTTGTTAGGCATGATGGTGGCATGTGCCTATAATCCTATCTTTCAGGTTGCTGAGACAGGAGAATTTAGAGCTCTAAGCGAGTTTAGACTTCATAGTAAGACCTTCTCTGCAAAAAAACCCAAAAACTGAAAGTAAAGTTTTATGGTCACATCTTTGTATCTCTCCTGCTGAATTTACTGTGTTTGGCCAAATGGTGTAGTCATTTTGTAAGTGTCTATTACTGAAAGTTAGAAACATCAGATCCTGAGAATAGCATCAGAATTGCGTGTATGAATGTGCTTCTAGAATGCAGAAACATAAAAGAAGAAAGTTCTCTTTGACTCAGTTACCAGGCTTCCTCAACATTCCTTGTGTGTCTTCAATGAAAAATGAAAGAAAAAATAAAGAGCTTCTCGGTCACTTTGTGCTTTGAAGTACAGAGCATTGGACAATCAGAGATCTATTGTTGAAATACCTCTTCAGATGTTAGAAAAGTAAACTTAGGATGTTTAAAAGGAATCAGTGTTGTGACATGCACAGCATACTACTGCTAGGAACTATTTTCTTGTTTGTTATTCATATCTTTTAAGACTTAAAATGTAGTCAGACATGTGTGCAGGAAGTCAGAGACCTGAAATTGGATACCAGCTCCATCACTGCTTACAGTAGTTACTTTACCAGTTTTGAACTGTGTCTCCCTCCATAAAAACAGTGGGATTTAACAGTTTATTAAAATAATATAAAACATATTAGTACTTATAATACGCCAACCACTATTCTAAACATTTTGCATTTAGACCTTATAGCCATTTCCCAGGTGAAGATGTTAAGTCACAGTGTGGGGCTGGGCTCAACACCACAGTTAATAAGTGGCTCTAGAGTTGTTACTCCATTACACAATACTTCTAAAGGTCTTTCCCACTTGATTATTATATAATTCTAGCTGATTCATACTGTGCCTATATTTGAAGTATGTTTGACCTAGAATACAAGACTATTTGGAGATAGGAGTTAGGGGGTAGTTTAGAAGTGAAGGAGGCTTTGGGTACCTAATACTTTGCCACACAAATTTTTTGAGCTGTGCTTTCCACTTTGCAGTTTAAGATCCTTTCCCTACTCTCATCAGACAGGAGGGCTACTGCCTAGATGTCTGACCAGTTGCAGACTTCTCTAGCAAGTTAGGCCACAAATACATTACAGCTCTGCACTCCAGAAATAATAAAAGCATACATCGTGCTAGCCAGATGGTTCTCAGTGAGGAAATACTCTCATGTCCCCCATCTCCTCCCTCCCCCCCAGATGGTAGAAGGTAACTCATGCGCTGTACTTTTATGCTGTGTAAATTACCAGAAAGACATCTGGAATGTGGTGATCCAAGGAGGCAGTCATTTTCTCACAACTACTTGTCCATGCTTTTTTTTTTTTTTTAATCATTCTAACATCTTTATTGAAATAATTCAATTACCATAAAATTCACCCAGCTAAAGTGTACAAGTCCATTTTAATATGTATACAGAGTACCATCACCATAATCAATTTTAGAATATTTGCATGGTCCTAAAAGGAAACTACTAGTAGTCATTCTCACATGCCTTGCTCTTAGGAATCTCTATTCCATTTATATAAATTTGCCTATTCTAGCTATTTCCTGTATTAATTATATTTCTTGATACTATGACAGAATACCTGACAAAAACAACCAATATCTCCCGGGACATAGTCCGTCATGACCAGAAAGGCTTGGCAGTGGGAGCAGCTCTGACCAAAACAGCTGGTTATATTGCTGAGCAGTCAGAAAACAGAAAGCTTAGACGGGAAATGGAGCTGGGCCATATCCTCAAGCCTCACCTCTGCCAGATAGGTTGCCTGTCCAGAAGAGTCTACAGTCTCCCAATACAGTGCCACCACCTGGAGTCCAACTATTTAAACAAATCATATGAACCTTGGAGACATTGTACTTTTCAAACTGTAACACA